CCTCCTCAAATCCATTATTTATATTGTTTACTACTTAAGTAAATCCAGAGGTCTGCAGAGATAGTGTTTTCCTTCCCTCTCCCCAGACAGCCTGTTGACCATGCCTCCCTCCTACCCCACCCCCTTTTAGAAAGGCCAAAAACGCTGAAGCTTACCCGATATCTACTTGATGTTCCCACTTTCGGTCTCTGTGGCTCCTCTCGGCGGCCATCAGGATATGCATGTTTGTAAAAACAGTTCCCTCCAAATGGGCAGCTCCCACGGCCTTCATCAAAATACCTGCAGGGCTTGTTGCTGGAAAGGAAAATAATCGCAACCCTTACTCAAAGTAGACCCAAGCAGAATTCAGTACTGCATTTGCCTATAGTCCAAGGGGGTCTCTTTAAATAGATTCCACTTGTCACTGAAGCCATTTCAAAATCAGCCAAATGTATCACATACCAATGATGTATCACATTATGTACACACAGACACACACACCCCAATAGGTGTGTGGGCAGATGCATGCATAAGGAGGCTGATCAGAGTGCACAAGCCTGTACTACCTTATGGCTGTATGAATAGTATTTTGTGTAGATAAGGAAGGCTGTGAAGTCAGAAGTGGATAGGAACAGCTGGGTGATTGTGTGGATGCATGCATCTGTGGGTGGTTAGGTAAGGACACATTTCATGTGCAGGGGGTTGGAAGGGAGGTATGAGAGGGCTTTAGATAACACCCTTCTGCAGGTGTGCCCTTATCTCTGCAGTCTTGACTTGAGAAAAGGCTGCAGTGCTCGTACCTCATTGCCTCCTTGTATTTCTGAATGAGTTTCTGCTTCTCTTCCTTCTCCTCCACCCAGTACTCACTTGGAATGACAAAGTTCGACGTAATCCGACATTCTGGGCAGGACCTGGGGAATGAACAGACCGTGCTGCAAAATTCCACATGACAGGGCGCTCCCTCCTGTTACAAACAAACTAGGGCATGTACCCATCTTTAAAGCTGTATGTTATTGTACCTGGACACTGGCTGCATGGGCTTTTTCAATCTACATTCTTTTGCACAAGACGACACCCTAAAACTCTTCCTCTTCTTTAAAAGCTCAACTCAGCAGCTGGTCAGGAGGTCTCAAAAAAGAACTTGGAAAAACATTTCACACAGACTCCTTTTGCTTTAGATTTAAATAAATTTATTTGTTTGTGTTCGTTTTCGTATTTGGCTGGTTGGGTTCTTAAGGGGAAATGGTTTGTCAGCTAGATGATGAAGTAGGGCAGCAAAAAGTTAAGAAACAGAATCAGAACTGGTTAATCTGACCTCAGTCTAATCTGAGTGCCTGAAATCTTTACAATGGTAACAAATTGGGCAGCATCTTGCTAATGACAGAACATGGCTTTTGTTCAAAATAAGCAGATTGTTTACTCCTAATAGATGTTAACCAGGTCAGAGTAAAAGTTACCCCTAGAAAATGATTTCAGTTCCAGGTTAATGTTAGGAATGCATTTAATGCAGTCTTTGTGTGCAGGGGGAGTTTGTTCCAAGTTATCACAAGATATTAAATTTTTCCAAAGTAACAAAGCACAACCAAAATGGGAAAAGTGCCTCACTTTATAATCTTGCTCTCAAATTGTTTAGCGCTCCTCCACTTGCGGATACACTTGAGACAGTAAGTGTGGTTGCAGTTGGAGAGAATCCCAAAACGGCGCTCACTGGGGTTGGCTTTTTCATACACCACCTCCATGCAAATCCCACACACCATGTCTTTACTACGCTGGACGGCAAAGGAGAGCTCCATGTCCTTCTCATGAGCTTCAATGCAAGACTGAAAAAAAGAGAAATGCAAATACGAACATAGCAAGGGACAAGATGAACAGCTAAGAGTTAGGAATTCAGCTTGCTTTTTGGTTTGTCTGTTTTAGTGTTTAAATGTGGGCCTGAATTAAGAGCAAGAGATCAGTCCTCAAAAAGCTTCTCACATAATAAGAGGCAAAAGTTAGTTCAAGTTCCTTCCCAATAACAAATCTGACTGCACACAGGAACAACTCAACTAAATAGGACCAATAAACCCAAACTGAAATAAGACACAAACAAAAACACCTGTATGAAAAGGAATCCATTTTCCACCAGCCAAAAACAGAACTGCTCTGTGGTAACTGCCCACAAACATGCTCTTACCAAGTGAAAGTTTAGAAAGGCCTAGTGCTAACTGAAAGCTAAACTGTGGGTGCTTTCTAGGTCTTCAGTCACCACAGGATAAGAGCATGCTTACAGTCAGGAACTCAGAGCAGCTTACATGCAGCAAGTCCATTCCCTGTGTTAAATTTACAAATTTGTTCATTTCTCCATAATTCTCTCCCTAGCCCAGTATCTGTACCGTTATACAAGACTCTTCAAAGTTCACTCCTTTTTATATAGTTATTTTAAAACAGCCTTGACCAGAAGTCAAGTTTGCAGCATCAGCTTCATGAAACTGACCAACTTCCATACAATCAACTTTTAATGAAGGGGAGGAAATGACAAATATTTGCACAAAGCTAGGAAGTATCTTCTTGATATTGCTCAACACAAAAATTATTTGTGTGTTTACCTTTATGTGTTGGGATCTCTGTGCAGCATCAACTGGATGCAAGACCTGCAACCCACACATGTCACACACATCCCCATGGATATACACGCAGTTTTCTCCATAACGACATTCTCCTACTGCAGCGTAGGGGCACAGTTGCTTCTTCATCTCCACATTTGCTTGCTGCTTCTCATACTCCTCCTCAATCACCATTCCCTGCAAGGGTGTTTCAGTGCAGGAAGGGGCAGCTGGAGGCAAAAGTTAAATAGATAGGAAACAATGCGTTAAACTGGGGTGTCAGACTCCAAAATGGTATTTTAATCTTTAAAGACCATAGGTAAGCAAGCTAGAGTTTAACCATCAGCGAATGCAAGTCTCAAATCACACAAATCACCCCCCCCAAAAAAATTTTACACTAAGTCAGGGGTGTCAAACATATGGCTCACAATTTGGATCCAGCCTAAGAGATGGATCCGGCCCATGGAGCCACTCTATCCAACCTGTTGTACTACAGGCAGACCACCAAAAGTTGGGAGATGTGGGCTGCCACAGAATACAGTGCTCTCATGCTGCAGCAGAAATGATGAACAGCAGCAGGAGGGTTAGCAAGGGCTGATACAGCCCTAATCACCCTCCAGCTACTTCATCTATTGTCACTGCTACAGCCCTACTTCCCCTGGCTGTAGGCCCCTGCCACATATTCAATGCTGAAGCTGAAGCTGTCACTGTGACATGGGGCATATGGCAGGGGCAGCTCTGGCATGGGGCACATGGGGTAAGCGGGAAAGAGGAGTTGGAGCTGCCACCACATGCTCTAGGTCAGAGAGCCAGAGCTGCTGCAACCACTACCACTTCCTCATGCCCTGGGATGGATCCAGCCTGCAAGGAGTTCTGCAATCCAGATTTGGCCCAGGCCCCAAAGCCAATTTGACAGCCATGACCTAAACCAATTTAATTGTTTCACAAGCAAGGAAGCAAGCACAAACAAAATTTCAACCCTCTGCCCTTCCCAGCCCGCCAAACTTCTAGCCCACCCAAGGGCAAGCTGTCAATATAGCGTAAGGGGCAAGATGCAAACTTACTACGATACAGTCAGTGCTCTACAAGTTCACCAGTTCTGATAATGGCTCAATTATTGCTCAATTATTTTTTTAAGTAGGGTTTTGTTCAGCAAGTATCACCTTAACTCTAACTCACTCCTGCTGAAACAAGTTAAAAACCATGTTCGACTTCTGTTATAACTAGTTAAAACATAATTTAACCAAGTCCACACCAGCTAAAACAAACCTTAGAACAGTTGGAAACAAACTAGTTTAACCACCGTTCAAACTGGTATAGTGTCTCCACTGTAATCAATGCATAGTCATGTAAAATGAAGGATACTTACCAGAACTAGCCTGGAGCTCTGGAAACCTTACCTCAACAAAACCTTATTGTCAGACATATTAGCCTGCTGCTTGTGTAGGCTACAGCTCTTTAGCAAGACACTTAAGGTTATTTCTGTTAGAACAGCCTACTATAATCAGAAACGTTAGCTGCATGCAAGGTTGTATTCTGCAGCTCCTGACACTACAGTAACAGCTTACTTCTCTTGACTAATGAAGGGTAGGCACTTGAACTAAAGGTATAAAACAATATTTCAACTGTCTGATAAATGGAAATCCACATTAAGAACTAAAAGAACTGGATCAGTGTCCTGAAATATTGTCCAGAGAAGTGGATCACAAAGACTTGAAAAGACCTGATTCTATGGCTCTCAACTACTTGAGAATCTCAGTGGGTTTTTGCTACTGAAAAGCACACTAGCTATAGCAAGATCTTCCTTATAAAGTTTAAAGGGCTCACTAATTCAGTAATATTTCCCCTCCACTCCAAGAACTAGATTTTTAAAAAAGGCATAGATACCAAAATACCCATATTAAAAAAAACAATTCAGTGCCTAGATGCATCTAGGTACCTTCAGTTTGCTCCAAGACATTAATTAGAGCTGCATATATACGGCATCTCCAATATTGTTATCGGAAATGTATTAAAATACAATATTCTCACAGAAGAACTTGGTTCAATTTATTCCTTCAAAAGACAAGGGAAGATCCTTTGTGCCAGTTTCTTTTCCCATACATCTACAAGGGGCCATTTTTAGATGTATTCAGGAGAAATCCCCACCTGATCTAGGACAGCTGGGACTGCACAGAACACAGTAACTGGTGAGCCCATCTATAAAGAGAAAAGGCTCTGAAAAAACTCCAAAATGACAAGAGACTTTGGGAGGCAGTCAGGAGAATACACTGCTCTAGTGACTAATCTCTGTAAATCATTTTCCCAACCCAGTAGAAAAACAACATAGCCTCAATAAAGCCAATAAGGTTACAGGTGTTAGGGAAGATGCCTTCCTAAGCTTTCAAACACCAAAGAGATCTGATCTAAGAGGTGGGACGAAGTATTGGAAATTCAAAAAGACTCAGATCCAGTACTCAATTGATTCTATATACACGTGATTTTTTAGCCAGAGGCTCTTTGCCCCAGTGAAAGAGAGACGACTTCACTGTTATGGCATGTATTAAGCACCAGAAAGGAAGCCAGGCAGATTTTCATGCTTCTGAGGACATAGGGCCCCCAGCCAAATGATTATCCAGTCAAGCTTGAGGGACAGTCCTTTACTAGTAAGACAGCACTTTTCATTGCCCACTCAAGCAAAAGCAAGAACTACAGGCTCAGTACACAGATGTGATGACATCCAGGGTGCTACAGATACTCACAAAAATCTCTCTCTCAGAACTGTAAGACTTAACTTCAGAGCATTACCCCTTGTCATGATGCAACAAAAATGACCATTTTGGCTTCAGTTTGCTATTTGGAATTGTGTGGGGCCACATTTTTTGGATCCTACCTGGATTTTTTTCTTGTTTATAGACAACAAGTTGCACTCTAAAAGGAAGTATTCTTCAAGAGATTCAGCAACATGCTCAGACCAATGCAGAAACCAAGATTGGAGGATCTTTCATTACAGTGTTTACACCAGAGATTTTAAACCAGGGTGCTGAAGCGCCCTGGGGTGCCTTACGCTCTTTCGTGTGGCGTGATGTTAGATGTACAAATGTGATTCACAAGATGAACAAAAGATTTCAAAGAGAAATCCATGGTGTCAAAAGCATTCTGCTCTGTCATAGTTTTTCTGAATTCTTTGCATCAGAAAAATTGCTCTATTTTTCTGTGGTCAAAAAACAAGTGAAAACAAACAGCTGGCATTTTCCATGGCTGAGAGCCATGGTTTAGACTGGTCTCAGAGAAGTATTCTGCGGTCCAAAAGCTGATGTAGAATGGTTCTGCTGCCCATGAAAGAATATCCGAGTCAGTGCAAGACTAGAGAGGAACCAGTGATTCCACTTGAAAGAGAAACAAAAGCATTTTGTATCAAGACAACAAAACACTGAACAAGCACTTTGCACTACAAGTAAATTTGTGAACCCCTGACAGAAATTTACCGTTATGCCATGATCAGCTTACCACGTCCACAGTATGGCTGCCCAGGGACAAACTCTACGGCATTTACCCAGTCTTCAGCACCTACTCCTGCAGCTGCCAGGTTTGTATTTTCAATTTCTGTCTCACCAGTGCTTGCTTCGAGTGTTTCAGGGAGTGATGTGAGGTCTGAGGATGCTGAAGGATAAGTTTTTGCAGCTGGAGTCACAGTAGTCACTTCTTCCCGTTTCAGTGGCTTGGTATGTTCATATCTAACACATTAAAATTCACCATATGAACTTAGAGAAATCAACTATACAATATAGTTTTGTACAAAGGACCAATCTGCAAGCACAGGGAGAAGGAATGACCAAGATGAATAAATACCACTATGGTAAAAGCCTGAAAAATCCCTTAGTGATTTTGTAGGAGATAAAGTAGCCCACAGCAAATATTGGTCTGTGCACCCTTCCTATACCTAAATCCTTCATGAGACTTTTTACATGCATCAAAAAGCTGTCCTGTCAATGGATACAAGTCATCATTTAATACTTCCTACAGCCTCAGAATTTCAACATTTTCCATTTTTCAGATGTCTAAATATAGCCAGAAGGATATTGCAAGTTAGACACCCAACTTCCTTGATTTACAAAGGGTGTCAACTGTTTACCAAAGAGAAACTTTAATCCCTACCCACAAACAATCTGAAAGTATTCTTTCCTTAAAAGGTCCAAGTCCTGGCCAGTTTCAGATTAGGCAGGTCTCATTTATAAACTACTGATTTATGTTCCTGTTGGTATCTCAGATATTTGTCAAAGACTCTTACCTTGTTAGGAAGAGTTAATAGAAATTATTCAGTTGCTGAAAACAGTATAACTGATTCATCTTTCTTGTGCCAGAAAAATTGGTAACAAGTAAAAGGTGGAGAATTACCGACTAGAGAAGGTGTCCTATTTCTGTGTAAACCCTAGTGATGTTCCCAACAGGAACTTAAACTGCATTTTCACGAGTCTTTTTTTTCATTTGGGAAGCTTAAGCCTCGATATCCATGAATATCTACACTACCCTGACAAAAAATAGTAATGGCAAGCATATACAAATAGCTGCATAGAGACTGACCTAGATGTATGGTCTTATTTGAGCATTTTCACTATGCATAAGAAAGATTAGATTTCCTACGAGGTTTTATTTCAACATTAATATTTGTGAAGTGCACTACTGCATGAAATTATTACAAAGGTATTTGATCATATATAAAATGAGTTGGGAGTCAAGTCAGGGACATCAACAAATAGTTTTAAAAGGTTTACTCAGCTCTGACCTTTTAGCAATAAAAGCCTGGCATGATTTTAGCCTTGTGAAAACTTCTCCACATTGGGAGAGTTTCAAACCATTTGCATCTGTTGGCTTTCACAAACCAGCACTTATTTATGCAGGAATCATTTCAGAACCCTTGAAACAACACTTCAGTTATTTATCCCCAGAAAGGAACTTACAAATATGATAGTCACTTTTCAATACCAATGAGTACAATCAAGATATTAAATTTCTGAAAGGGATGGATGTTAAAACTATCAATGCTGAACTATTTATCAAGTGCAAATTATTTCAAAAGTTTAAGTAAATACAATAAAATGCTTAAGAAGATTTTCAATTTCAAGAGGAGGCTTTTCTCCCCACTCATCATGAGGAAAACACCTAGTCTTAGAATGGAGTAGCCCAGCTAAGAGCTGGGAGAAGCAGCTATGCATAGAGCCCTGCATCAGTGGCTTGCAGATTTTTGTTTCAAGCATCTGCTCCCTGCCCAGCTCCCCTTGCCGGCAGGGAAAAAGGAACCTTCACACTGCTTTCCTAGTCTCTAACCAGTTGGTTCTATGAAGAGCAGGTCCTCACAGCTCCTAGTTGGAGCTCCAGAGCTATTCCTGCCCCATGCTGCAGAGCAGCTATGCAGGGAGCCTGGCTCTGCAGCATGCAAATTCCTCCTTCAAGCCTGTTTAGGGC